GCATATAAGACCTGTAGCTAGCAGAGTATAACTACGCTGCTATAGAAGCAGAGACATAAAATGTTCTAGAAACAACGTAGTTTAATGCTGTAGCAAAAAACTTTCTAACTACTATAAATAAAGTTGCCCCTTATTAGTTTATAACCTTTTAGAAAAGCAGACAGTTTGCACTAAACATAAATTAAAAAAAAATAATAAAGCGCTTTTAAAAATATATAATGTTAAATTATCTAATACATATAAAAAAGCATAAAGCTGCCTTTATAACAGATAACTTATTATACTTTACTAAAAGTAGAAAGACTACCTAGGGCATAAATAAAGACACCTATAGTGTAAAAGTTATAATATTAAAAAAATAAAGTAGACCTTAACATTAATATTATTAAAAAAATAATAAAAAGTTATCTTTAAGCTAAAAACTTACTAAAATAAAAGGCACTAAATATCCTACATATAGACATATTTATGCATTAAAGGACTACCTTTATGTTTATCTAGACAGAGCACTAGACTAGTAGATGCTAAATAAAAAAGTTAAAAAGCTTATAGCATTAAAGCATAAGCACAACTTAGAATTTTAAGGCCTACTAAAAAGGCAGCGTAGACATAATTTAAAAATACTAATCTTAAAAAGTTTACATACACCTATGCTAGAGATATAAAAAGACTAACTTAAAGGCTAGAAAGTATTAAGAGTTAAGGCAGCTACATTGCTAGCTATAGTTAATTTAAACTAGAATAGATATTTACTAAGAGAATTATTTATCTTTAACTAAGCTTAATATGCTATATTATAAATAATTTTAATTAGATTTATAACTATTATTTACTAACACTAAAAAACTTTATTTAGTTTAAAAACTTTTATGTATAAATCTAAAGCTATAAATTAATTATACTAAGCTTAAAAAGTAAGCATAGAACATATAGTTAAGCATACAGTCTTATACTACATAACACTGCACTGTGCCTAGACCTGCTGTGCAACCTAGTCTTATTCTGCCTACTATAATAGAAAGAAATCTAGTAGGACACATAAGCAGAGCTAACTACTTTAAAGGCTTTAAATAGAATAATAATTAAAGATCTTATAAAAATCTATAGCTAATAAGTGTTAAAGTACTATCTACTATAAAAAGGCTTATATTATACACACATAATTAACACAAGAACTAAACATAGTTTATAAAAGGCATTAGTAGAGCTATAGCATAAGTGTTTAGAACACCTTAAACTAGCTACACTTTAACACCTTATATAGCAAGCTAAGAGAGTGTAAATTAAAGGAATTATAATAGTCTAATATAACTTATATAGTAGAGCTAAGATATAATAATAAATTAGCTATATACTATAAATTAGTAATAGTAGACCTAGTAAAAAACTGTTAATTAATTTCTATATATATAAAGCATAAAGCATTATAAAAAAGTAAAGTTAAATACTAATTACTAATAAGTATTCTAGCCTCTAGTAAGACCTTTACTTTAAAAATAATAAGCTTACTAAATTAATTATTAAAGCTTTTATAATTTTTTTTTTTAAAGAACTATTATAATATTACTATAAAAGTTATTAAAGCTAATAATAAAATTATAATAGTAAAACTAGAAGTAAAACACTAGCTAGCATTATATAGAATAACTATTAAGCCTTTAGCACTAGATACATAAGCCTAGAATAGAAGAGCTAAACGCTTAAAAAGTGTAAATAAGAAGAAGTTATAGGCTATGCAACTAAATGCTAACCTACTATAAAACATATAGCTATACATTACTAAAGCAGGCGTATACCTATACAATTAGACGCTAAACTATGCTAATAACTAGAAGACACTATATAAGATTTTTTTTTATATAAGTAGGTTTAAATAATAAAGTTATTATATTAATTTAAAAGCTTATAGCTATAAAGCATTTATAATAACTAATAACACACATTAGAATAAATCTAAGCTACAGAGGCTAGACCTAAAGGTGTAGATTAAATATCTAGTTAAGTACTAATTATTAAACATTTACTATATATAAATACTACTACTAGTAAAAGTAATCTGTACATGTAATGTTATTTTTAATAAATACTTAATTTTTAGTAGTAAGCCTAAAGACCTAATAAATAACCTTATATATAACATAGTAAAGAAAATTACTATATATATTAGAATAATTAAGCTTTTAACACTTAGTTATTAGCTAAAGATAAAGTTATTTTATAAAAATAACACTATAAATAATACATTAAATTTTAATAAAGTAGACTTACTAGGCTACTATTAAGAAAAAAAAATTAAAGATAACTATCTATCTTCTCTAAACACTTTACTACTTATAGCATTACTTATATAGTTAATAGCTAGAGCAGCACTAAAGCTAAGCTAAATAAAGTTGCTAAAAACTATACTATAAGCTGTAGCCTTTATAGCTAGCATAAAATCTAAAAGTATAAGAAAGCATAGCAGTAAGACACTAAATAAAGTAGCATTAATAAAAATACTATTTAAAAAAAAGACACCTTATAAAAGCTAGCTACTACCTTTACTATTAACTTAAAAGTAACTAAAGAAGCACTCTCTATATAAGATGTTTAAGGTAGCAGAAAGAACACACCTAGATAGTTATTAGATAATAAAATTCTAAATAAAGGTCTAGATAAAGCTAATTAAGGTAGCTAAACAGCAGATTCTAGATTATATGTAGGTGTACACTTATAAGCTTAATAAGCACTATAGATTATAAAAATGTAAGGTGTAACTAGTAGTCTATAGTAATTAATAAAGAAACATTACTACATAAGATACCTACACTGCCACCCTAGCAGGACACTTATTTTAAATGCTAATAGTAATATCTACACGCTTTAACTTAAAGCTTAAATAATATAACATAACTAACATATTTATACATGCAGTAATTAACTATAATATCTACATGCAGATGCTAAGAGGCTATTAGAAACTAGGTATAATACTAAAGCTTTAAAAAGCACTATACAGCCTATAAATTTCTTCTTTACTTTAGCAACACTATTTTATAATAACTTTTAAAAGCCTTAAGTTCTTAGCTGTTTTACATAAACCCTACTGTATAACTAAAGCTAAAATATTTATTTTTTTCTATATAAACAACTTTATTATTGTGTATAAAAAAGGCTTTAAAGCAGATGCACAGCATGTAGTAGACTAGTTATAAGAGAAGTATACTTTAATAAAAGGCAAGGACCTATAATAGTTCTTAGGAGTTAAGATTATTAGAGATTAACAGCAACAAATAATTTAGCTGTTATAAGCATTATATATTAACAAGATAGCTAGGCTAGCTAACAGAAAGAACCTGCAGCATGCTACACCTATAAGTAGGATTAAACTTATGCTATAATCTAGTTTTACAACCTTATTAGAAGTAAATTAATATTAGCAGAAGATTAGATCTTTACTCTTTGCAGTAGTTACTACAAGACTAGACATTGCCTTTGCCACATTACGCCTTACACAGTTTCTCACAAATCCCGCATCTGACCATTAGGATGCAGCTGATTGAGTCATCCTGTACCTACATGCGACACAGACGTACGCACTCTAATTAGGAGGAGAAGACTACTTTGTAGTAGCAAGTAATACATTATTTATAAATAATACACTAGATAGAAAGAGCTTTTAGGGCTATGTTATTTAACTATTTAGCAAATAGATTGCATAGTAAGCAAATAAATAAGATATAGTCACAATATTAACAACAAAAGCAGAATTACTTGCACTATCCTAAGTTGCTAAGGAAGCTATGTTTACAAGAATGCTCCTTAACAAACTGCAGGTTAAGCTGCCTAATTTAACTATTACAATCTAGTGCAACAACAAGCAGACAATCTAACTAGTAAACAAAGAGATATCTTGACTTTAAACTAAGCTCTAACATGTCAACATCTATAACCACTAGCTCTGACAGGAAGTCTCTCGACAAACAATCAAGGTTGTCCATGTCCCCTCCAGCGAGATGCTTGCAGACAGACTCACCAAAGCGCTTCTAGCCAGCAAATGGCCAAGCTTTCTTCAGCAAATTCAGCTAGTTAACGTCAGGGAGAGGATAGTCAGTCAGGAAGCGGATATGGAAGAGATTGAAGCAAGAATGGAAGCCCTGGAAGCATACTAAGGTTGCGCAAT